GCAATGAAAGGAAGAGAATAAGCAAACATTAAGAAGCAAATAACTACCATCGACAAGAAGGTTAAGACTCTTTCAAATAAAGACATTGTGATAGACCAAATGACTTATAATGTCAAATCCCTGATTCATCTAGGGAAAGACGGGATGAATGAACATGGGAAGAAGGTAAAGACAAAGAAGATCAAGTCTTCATCTTCTAAGAAAACGGAATCAAATTTCAGTCCGGACTTCCTTGTAAATCACTCCTACCAACTTTACAAACGTATTGGAACGAAGCAATGTTAAAGTTAAACGAGAAGGTCCCTTTAATCGTCTTGAACCTTTCCTTCATACAGCAAGATCAAGATGAACGTCATAAGAATCAACCATCATCTTCTTCGAAATCTTCTAGAAACAGAGGATTGAACCCTCCGTCCGAATACACAATGTCCTTCGGTGAATGGATCAATGGTATTTCTCTCCTGAGGAAATATTTGAAAGAAACGTACAAATTTGGTATACTGGCAAAACAGTTAAAGAGTCACATAAAACATGTGAAGAATATAAAGTACGTATTAAGAATGTCCTGATGGATCATAGATAGTAAATCTAACATGAAAAAATTGGTTCTTAAAATATTTTAGAGAATCAACTGAATGCTGGATGGTAGCTCTCAGATACGACATAATGTTTTGATCACAGCTTTTTACTCATCGGGCAAAAGGCGTCCCAAAGCCAGACGCAAGCCTATATGTAGAAAACTACAAAAAAAGAGCAAAGGAAAGAGCTTCAAAAACTGGAGAACTGTCTGTTGGGAACACCAACCCTTACGCAAAAGGGGGACGTTACAAAAATAGGAACCTGATTACCGGCTCTTGGAATGAGTAAGCTTCTTTGGAATTTTTCATAAAGGAAAACTTTAAGATCAAAAAGATTAACAAAGAAACGTTTTAGAGGAATCACACCAAACAGTAAAAAGAGACGAAACAACACCTCGAACAACCTCCTTCCTTCACATCAAAGAAGAGCAGCACGACCTCCAAGAACAACTTTCACACATGAAAGAACTGATCAACCTCAAAAACAGAATGATGTCAGAGAAAGCGAGGTTAGAAACCAGAATTTTAATCATGGAGCTAACGGAGCAGGGGGTAGAGGAAGTAATCGTCAAGGTAGAGGTGGGATAGTCACTAGAGGCAGATCTCGCCAACAGTGAGTTGTTGCTAGTTTTATGTTCATTTACAAATTTTTTCACCTTGTTTCAAATTTTCCATCTCTATGTCCCTAGTCAGACTGTATCTCTCCCCCTCATTAATGAGATCTATAGCTATCCGTGTTTCTTGAAGTAATAGCAGTTTTTAAAGTTAGCAAGAAACTGTAGAATGGAGTGCAGTACCACTTATCATAACATATTGAAGTGGGAAATGTTGTATAACTGATCAAAAGGTTGTAAACATAGGCATGAAATATCAATAGTTTCTTGATAACCAATTAAAATCCTCCTTTCCAAATAATTTGAGTGATTAACGTGGTTATGACAATCTGCTTCTGTTTTTCCAAATTTGCCACTATTTCTCCCAACCTTTCGGTCAAAGAAACAAACAGGTAGTAAACCATAAAATTTCAGCTCAAATTCAAAATAAGGAGAATGAAATCTCAGTGGTAACTATTGGCAAGGAAGACAACACTAAACACCCTAAAAAGACGATAAGATTAGAAGATCAACAAGAAATACAATCTGATCCAAGGTGGCCTAAGAAACCTTACAGCAAAATGAATGTGGAATTATGGAAAGAAGAACTATATAAGAAGAATTTACTTCCAAAATACCAGTTTGTGATCGACGGATTCATTGACGGTTTCGATCAAGGAATCCCATCTCACACGATTGATGGGATGGATTTCTTCTGCCCACCGAACCACAGTTCGGCAAACAAAGTTCAAGAGAAGGTGATGTCGAATATTCAAAACAAGATCAAAGCTGGTCAAATGTTTGGTCCATTCACGGCAGATGAACTACAATCACGGTTCTCATTCTTTAGGTCCAGTCCCATCGGAGCCGTAGTCAACGGAGATGGGTCTTTTAGACCCATCAACGGCCTATCTTTCCCTAAGAATAACCCCCTCATACCAAGTGTAAACTCCTTTGTAAATAAAGAAGACTTCCTAACAACTTGGGATAATTTCTCGGAAGTCGCAGAGTTTATTGCGAATCTCTCATCATCAGCAAAAGCAGCCCTTTACGACTGGGAGAAAGCGTACCAACAGATAGGAACACTCCCTAGTCAATGGCCTTATCTCATGATCACAGACTCAGCGGGCCTCCACCATCAACATCTGTATTTCCTTTGGAGGCGTGGCTGGTTGCGGCAGTTTTGGTGGTCCGGCCAATGCGTGGAAAGATTTAGTAAAACTTCATTTTGGCTTACTAGATGTTTTTAGGTGGGTGGACGACAACCTCCTAATCAAAGAAGAATCGACAACTGTTGATATGGACCAGGTGGTAGCTTATAGCTCAGCTTTAGGAGTAAAAACAAATGAAACAAAGTTTTCACACTTTGCGGATGAGAAAAAGTACATTGGTTTTGTTTGGAACATAAAAGAGAAGACAGTACGATTACCTGACTCGAAACTATTGCAGCAAACCGCTCAACTAGAAGAATTCCTTGCCAAAGTCGATTATACTCACAAAGAGGTCGAAAAGATGAATGGAAGATTAAATCATGTATCGTACATTTTACCTCAACTACGATGCTACCTATCCAACAACTTCAAGTGGTTAGCCGAATGGGTAAATCTCTACACGACAAGAAAGATGCCATCAACAGTAAGAAGTGATATGAATATTTGGCTAAAAGCTTTACAAGCATTCCCTAACAGACACCTGCTACAGAGGAGATCAATAACCAACGTTGGCTGGGTAGGAGATGCCTCAACTTCCTTTGGCATCGGTATTCTTATCAGGAAGTACTGGTCACAATTTAAATTGCTGCCCGGATGGGAGTCACCACAAAAGTCAGGCCAACCAACAAAAGGTATAGCTTGGCTTGAGACAGTGGCCGTACGTTTGGGATTACTGATGCTGAAGAAACTGCAACCGGTGGAAGGGTTGCGATTCCTTGTTCTGACTGATAATACTACAACGGAAGGTGTATTACAAAACGAGCGCTCACGCAACTTTTGGGTTAACCATGAGTGGAAGGAGATCAGCACTCTCCTGTACTCGACAGACTGTCAGTTAGAGCAAAAGCGGGTCACTTCCGTAGACAACAGAGCTGACGAGTTATCTAGGGGAATCACACCCAATCTGTTGTGGTATTATCAAGTGGTGGTCGATCTACCTAAAGATTTGAATTCCTACCTACGTAACACAGAAGAAGGAGATCATACCTAAGGTTTTTCTAAAAACTTGACTAATGTCGTCCTTTTTATAATTTGTGCAAGACATCTCCTGTATGAATTGAATCAATTACTTTCCTTTTTTACAATTCTGTCACTCCTTTTGGTAATAATCTTGTTTCGGCAATTTGGAATAATCTTTTTTCGAGAATTTGAAATTACAATTCCCAAATGCATCCTTGCGCGCCAAAGTCAACAGCTTTTCTCAAATAAGTAAAAAAACGCTGGGTATTATTGTGACAAACATTTCCTGCAAAGTTTGGAAAGATTTTCAATATCCGGAAATAACCACGCCCTCAAAAAGTGACCCTATTGAACCTCAACACGACCCGTCTGAGCACACGTCATATAAGGCTTACAGACACTAACCGTGAGTATTCACCCAGTTTTTCTAATGTGGAAAAACAAAATCCTAATACACATTTCTTGTCGAACCGTTCCTGACTGGAAGATGAAAGACCTACTACCATTCTTAAGGATCAACGACGAAACTACTTTACTTCTGTCTAGTTCCCAAAGACACATGGTGATGGGTGGTTGGAAACAGTCAACCCTGGAATCGTACGCTTCAGGAGTCAAGAAATTTAAAACGTTTACTAAAAAGTTTAATCTTAAGGCGTTTCCAGCCTCGCACTCAACAATTGAACGTTTTGTTGTCTGGGCAGGTCATAATTACAACACCAAAGCAACTAATAAACCTATAAAAGTCGTGACGATACATAAGTACCTTTCAGCAATTCAAACGTGGCACGATTTCCACGGGATAGCCGCCCCTATACTTCTTCCAACAAGGATACAGAGTATCCTACGCTCGTCTCAGAGACTCAAAACAACATCGACTCTTTTGACTTATGGGAGAAAACCAGTATCTCCAAAAGACCTATTAAAACTGGTAGACAGTCTAGAAGAACACGAAATCGACTCTGTTGGTTTGAAGGCTCTCGTTCTCACAGCTTATTGGGGTTTGGCTAGGATGGGGGAGTTAGTGTATAAATCCTCAGTTTTTGATAGTAGAGACATTACAGCTATCAAAAGATCAGACGTACTTTTCATACTGGTTGACGGTCACAGAGCAGTACAATTGACTCTCCGAGATGCAAAGACCTCAAGAAATGGAGAGACTCAATATTTAGTATTACGAGAAACAAAAGGCAAGTTGTGCCCTTTCAAGGCAGTGGGAAAACTCCTACGCCGCATGGAGAGAGTTAAAGATCCCCGCCTTTTCATGACTTGGGACGACAACCAGACTAGAGCGATCACAAGGCCGATTGTAAACCGAGCCCTCTTGAGAGCATGGGGGTTTAACAGCAACCTATCAGGACATTCGTTCTAAATTTGAGGGGCAACCCTCCTTACCAAGAAAGGAGTAGATTTAGACGCACTGAAGAATTTAGGTCGCTGGAAGTCAGATTGCCATGAATTGTATCAGCAAGAATGGAGCAACACAGACTGGCGTTCAGCAGAGAATGTTTTACTCTCAACAGGTGATAGAATCCCATCATACGCGTAACATTGTAACCTTTTCTTGTTTTAGACAATACGAAGATGAAAACTTTTTGTCCAAATTCTGCTTATCTCCTTCGAGAGACAAACTATGAAGGAAGAGGTTAGGCTAGCAACAGTAAAAGGGGAGAGCCGGGATGGCTCAGGACTGCCACAAGCCCTGAGTTTGGGGGCCACCGGCTCTCCTATTGTTTCTTCCTAGGTAATTTCCCCTTTTGGAGAATCTGATAAGGTATCTTCATAAACCCTTGTCAGTTCTCTCTAAGGTGCTGTATTACCTAAGACTGGCCTCTCTTGTGACCTTTCAGGTCACGAGTTTGGCCTCTAGCCTCACTGCTCCCGCCTGGATCAACACTAAGCTGATACAGGCGTGAGACCTTTCATTTCATAGGAAGAAGAAACAGTGGAGAATGATTAAATGGAACTAAGGGGAATAGGTGCTCTGGCTTAGTGGGATCTGTGAAATCCGAAAGATGCTGTGCGAGTTGATTTCATCTTCACAAGATCTTATGACGTGTGGTAAAGAGCTCTTTGTAAAATGGTTTTCAAGGACAGCCTATTCTTCATCTCTTGTCCCTGCGATTTGCAAAGTTGTTCTTTACTCAGTTCTCTTTTTATCATTTTAAAAAGTTCATCCATTCTATTATCAACAAAAACTATTCTTAGTTCCTCTCGATTTTTAGTTTAAAATATCTGAGTGTTTTAAGATTTTTTGTTTCCCACCATCCCTCCCTTTACATTGTACCTTGTTTTGTATTGTAGTGTTAGCCACCCCTAGGGTCTCAGTTTCTTACACTGCAATCCGCTCAGGCCCTCCGGGGTCGTCCAGCGTTTTAGCAGTACATCAATTCCTGTCTTTCAATACAAAGGTCTCGCGTGCCAAACATCTTCCCTCTGATAGGTAGTAATTCATCAACTGAGAGATTGGAGGCTGGGTATAAAATCAGCAAAGTTGGTGTATGTTCACTGTGAATTCTTTTCAAGAAAGTAATGATTTAAATAATTCAAGCAGTCAACTAAAAGGTCAACAACTCTATTGTTGTATTAGTCTTTAACAAAACTGTGACTTGGCACTTGAATAGAGATAATGTTTTCTTATTGTGATGTTTCTCATTAATTCAGCTCTCATCCATGTATGAAGGTTATTCTTAGATTGTTTTGATAATTCTAACTTCAGATGTTGCTACGGCCATTGGTTTCGGAACTTGTCATGACTCATGTAACCAAGAAAACAGCTTGAGCGTGCAGGACAGTGTTCCCCTGACGTCATATTTTGCAGGAAGTGACCTATATAACATCTATCACAGGGGAAAAAATAGAAGCTCACATAGATGTGAGCAGAGGTTACCTTCCTGATAACTCCAAAAATGTTTTGATTTCCTTCAGATTCTTTCAATTCACCATTTTGGTGGTGCCAACGTGCTCAGACTGTAATACTTAGGTATTGCTTGAGTTTGCTAGGCATGCTCATCTTCATCTTGGATGAGCATCTCCTGAGCATGGATGAGTGCTCGGGACCCAGCTGACACATCACTGTATACCCAGAATCACCTTCAATAGGATCCAAATGATGTCACTGAGTATTGGCTGAGAGGCTGCTCAGCTAGTCCTCAGTGGCATTCCTGGGATCAGAAGGATACAAAGTATGTCACTGAGGATTGCAAGGTCAATTCTTACCAATTGAAGGCCAAGGTTTTTGGCTTTAACAGTGCCAGGTTTAAAGCCGCTCGTAAAAAAAGGAGACCCAATCTTACAACCAACAAGCAGGCTCAGTTGGAAGCTCTTCCTGATTCAATTCTACTTCTTGAGTCTATCACAGATGTGGTTAAGGATTTAGGTACCCCAGAGTTTAGGATCATGACGCAAGCAAAAAGTTTGTTTTATGCTTGACAATTTGTTTGACTATTGCTCATCTTGGTTGAAATTGGAACAGGTCCTGAAGCTTGTGCTCTGGTCCGTCTTTGAATTGCAAAAGAAAAACTGTATGAAGCAAAAGTGAGTATATTGATGGCGCAGGAACAATGGGATGAGAACGGGCAGAGTAAGCATCATTTCAGGTTTTTCATGTAGTATTTGTTCAAACTTGAACAACATTGAAGCTTATATGTGTTTCTCAGGAACTTGTGTCCAGAAAGGTCTGAAGGATTATATGACACAGAAGCAAAACTTATCCAAAACAAAGATGAATACAAATGTAATTCAAGTCCGTAATTACAAAAAATTGGATCAACGTAGTCTTTTGGAATGTCCAACCTATGAAGAAGCTAAGGCAATGGCGATAGATAATGCCTTCTGGAATGTGGGGCCTTTGTCACATACTTTGGAACAATGTGCAATCAATCCGGCTGTAAAAGAGGGCATCCAAGTGTTCCTAAAATCCCCAAGCTGTGCGGAGGAGCTGCATTGGATTGGAAGAGAGGTTTGCCCGATGTCACACACCATGCTTGACATTGAACCAAAATTGGATAGGATGGATGAAGTCAGCAACGGCGGTCAGTGTATGATACATTCCTATCCATTCCCTTGGTCTACATCTTACTTACACATCAGAGAACATTGGCATGGAACCCAGATAGTGTTGGACAACAGAGTCCAATAGATTTGGTGCAGCCCCAAAATTGTAAATCAAGAGACTCTTGGGATGCAAGCTGTGTAGTGTTGAAGGCCAAAAGTCAAAATGCAAGACAAGCGCATGCACGGTGTTGGATGTTGTGGAACTCGGGAATTCTGAATCTATTGCAAAGGACACACGTTTACTATCAATTAACACGAAATGCTGATCACACGCTTGGTGAAGAGTAGCAAAAATTGATACAGCGTAGTACCAAGATATGGGTGTCATACCTGGAAATCACCAAGTGTTCCAGCCAAACCATTAGATGAGTTGGAATTGGTGGAGCAAAATATGGTTCTTGTAGTGGATTATGTACGAGGATTGTGTGGATGTTGAGTTTGAGGCTGGTGAAGACAGTAGCAATGATGATGATAGAGGACCTGAGGTGCAATCAATGATGATTCAAAGAAGTTGTAGTACCAAAATGGAAATGAATTCCTGCTTATGTTGAATGTGAGGAAATAGACCAAATGTGCCAAATTTTGTTGTTTGATTGAAGTTTTTGCAATTGATGTCTTACAATACTTTGTAGGAAGGAGTGACATCATGAATCATTTGTTTGAAGTATTTTTGGAAGCTGTGAGAGTTGTATTGTATGTAGCAGTTGTATCATGAATTGATTGATTTACCAATACGTTTGTGTATCATGAAATTGGTTGAGTCAGATATTGATGAATATGCTGGTGGAGTGGTTGATGAGGACAAAGGGGTGATTTGGAATTCAGTGGTGGCCGGTGAGAGTGATCCTGCTTGATACATACGGGCAAAGTTGGCTGAGTAGGTAAGTGAAAGGACTTGTATGGTGTGAAGTGTGTACACGGGGGTAGAAAAGTTCACTGCAGGATGAAGGTTCAGACATGTCTACATTACTTAGGATGCTGGGCTATGTAGACATGTGTCAGCCCTGAGTACTAAACCATAGTACCATAGGCTGACAAATAACAATAAGAAAACATTAAAAAACAATAATTACAACTCAGACTCAGTTTCAAGAGTCAAATTACATATGAATTAACATATGTAACTCATGTAAAACTCATGTAAAAGACTGTGTGAGTACACGACTTTACATTTCCTAACAGATTACATACATTACACACATGTAACATGTATGTAACCAAGTAGATAGGTCAATACTAATATGTAGTATAAACCTAACCTTGGAACCACAAATTGTGCACGTAGGATTTTCAAACTTCAGACTATAAAAACCTTGAATATGCGAAATTCAGAATCATCATCACATTACATCTTTAACACTTTTATTATACAATAAAACCTCATCACCAACTAGATTATAAGCTTTCAGTAAAGTGAAACTTTACTATCTTATTTGTGATTGTTATTTTGTCTTGTGGTTCTTATTTCCCCAATTTACTGTGACTGGTCTTAGTCACAGTTTTGTAATGGTTGTTGATTACCATTCGTGGAATCAAACTATAGAGGAGGTAGTCCTTAAGTGCTGCTTGATCTGATTTGGGATTTAATCAGATCAAGAAACTTTAAACCTGCATAGTACCTCTATTAGTCAGAGTGTAAAGTACTAAAACACTATAAAAGGAATTAGTGTTCTTAATCAATTTATTTCTAGCGGAAAGATAATTGATTAAGTGTAAGTCACTGAAGATTCAGTGCACGGTTTCTACTATTGATAATAGTAAAAACCTCACCCAAATCCCTGAAAAGCCTTTCTTTAAAGGTCCTCTAACTGCAGTCTATACTTGTTTGTTACAAGTATAGAGCTTGACCCTTATTTCTCCGCCCTGAAACCTTGTAGATCATAATCCCTCCAAGTTTATACCTTTTTCCTTAGTGATTTGCTAGCCTAAAAGAAGCTAGTAGCTCACAACATGTCTGCATGAAGACTTGTCAAACACGTCTAAGGAAATAAGCAGGGACATTTGACTGTGTCCATTACAAATGTACTATTTTTCTTGGGATATTCTCCCAAAGGTCTAGGAGGCACAGGTGCATGGGGCGCACTGGCCTGCCAGTGACCAGTATTTTGTGGCTGTGAGGGATGACAAGCCATCACTCCATGATGATTGGTTGGGAGATGTTGTTCACGGATGATTTGAGCTGCATCAGATCAAATCCTTCTAGTGTGACAATTTCCAATTACATATTCTGGTGGATTCTCTTAATGACACCAATAGGAAGCAACAGTGTCAGAAGAATCTTGCATAGTGAAAGAATCTGGGTTGGGGAGCCTGAGCTTGAGTTGAATATTGTTGGACTTGCGTATGAGTCCAAGCCTTTCAGATTCTTTGATAGCCATTGCGTTTGTTTTTGGGTGTGATTTAAAATGACCTGGAACATCTGCAATGACATCAGCAAGCTCCTCATGTTTTTGTTGAATGGAATTGATCTGGAATTGAGTCTTGATGGTCAATGACATGAATTTTTGATCCTCTTGCAAGAATGAATGAGAATTCCAGTCCAGGTAATCCAAATCAGAGACACTGAAATTGGAATTAGGAACAGATTTTAAAGTTGAATCAGAATTATCCACCCATCAAGATAGATGATGAGTTTAAATTACTGTCAGAATCAGAGAGTTACAATGAAGTTGATTGAAAATCAGGGGCCAAGTATGTATTGCTAAGTAGGTTCATCTATGGCTTGGGTGGGTCAAATTTAACTTGCTTTTGGGGATGTTCAGAGGACTTGTGTTGATGAGAGTTACCCTCTTGGGCTTCATTTTGGTGTGTTTGAGGCATGATGGTGTTGGTTGAGGTTGGACGTCTTCCAAGTGAGTGATCACAAATATGTTCACTGCAAACAATTACGCACTTCTCAATACCTAGGGCAATGTTTGACACTTCTTGCAACTACCAACCATATGGGTTATGGTTCTGGTACTTCCAGAACCACTCAATCTCCAATTCACCCTCCAGTGTCTTCCTGATACTGAATCAGGCGGGCCATCAAACCTTGTGAGAGCTGGAATAACATCTTTTGGTGTTGGTAAGAGTATTTTGGATGTGCTTGGGTGGATCACCAAAGGAACAGCAAAGAAATGTTGTAGTAAACTAGTGACATCAAACAGGGCCACCATGCTTGAGCCTGAAAAGATGTTATTGCATTGCCTGCATTGCAAGACTTCTGGGGACATTTGTTTTGTTGCAGGCCTTTCCAGACCCAAGAAGAGGATGCCTTCATAGCAAAGATGATATCATTTTCAATACCCTCTTTGCAAAGGAGGGTCAGACAGACAATGGCATTGGGGAACCAGGGTGGTGGACAAGAAGTATAGCAGACTGAGCAATCTGAATTGGGGTTGAGGTCATATCTGGCTGGAGCAGGTGCAATGTAAACCAAGGGAAAAGGGAGCCAGTCTTGAGTATTGTTTGTGCTAGAAAAATCATTGAGTCAGCTGAGCACTGCAGTAGATCTGTGAGGGCCCTTATCATACTCCAGCTCTATAAAGTGTGAGGAATCCTTGGACTTGTTGGTCTGGCAAGGCTTGGTGGGAGCTGTCGGATTGACTTCAGCAAGAAAGTGGGTCAAAATGAGGAATTCTAGTGCTTTGCGAGATCTGTTGATAAAGAAAGGCTCCTTGAGGAACTGAGCAGAAGAACATCTAAGTGGAATCAATCCAAGCTTTGGGGTCACATGAAAAGGAAATTAATTTTACTAGTTAAAATTTTCCTCATGGTGATAAGATAAAAACAGAAGACAATGCAGGATGGGAAGATCCTGATAAAATAAGGAACAGCAGATGTCTGATAAGAATCACTTGTTAGTGGTGTGTGAGAGCATGAAGGCAAGATAACCATGGAAGATTGATGAAAGAAAGTTGAGCACCCATCACACAGGGTCTGAATTTCACACTCACGACACGTTAGTAAAGCATTCTCCAAGATTGTAACAAGATTGGTGGTAGTTTGATGTTACGCTGCGCCTTGCGCAGCTTTGCAATGCACAGCAAAAGTAATCAGTGCAGCCCTCACTCAGTACTTACTACCAAATGTTCATCTGCCTACACATCCTGAGGTACCTGAACACAGCTATCTAAGTACTTCCTATGTCCCAATATTTCCTTGTTTCCCCTCCAATTTCCTGGTTGTAAATGTAATGGACGCGCGATTGGGGTTTCAATTCGTGAAATTGAGATCCCACAAGGCATATGCGAAATCAAATACAAAAACATTAAGTGTGTAAGAGCCTGTATAGAGTTTTATGTATGTACATACAAATATACAATACAGAGTGAGTCCAGAGTCAGACAGGTCACAGAGCAGCACACAGCCTTTGATCAGCTCGAACTTCCTACCCCCATTCAGGAGAGCAACTACCGCCTGCACAGAACACGGTCTTCTCCGTGTGATACCAAGCCTCAAAGATTACTCGAAGCAAGCACTGCAATGGATAACCCTAGTAAGTTTTCGGTGATCATTCCTTGCGCGCGAATGGTGACTTTCACCTACTTATACCATAAATCTTGACCACACTGCGATAGACAAGCAATCGAAAGGATCCATCAAGAAACAAAATAGACAGGTTTCCAAATGGATCCCTGATCACAACACCCCGTACTGCAGATCTGTGACTGATTTTGTGAAATACTTGCTCGGACGAACCGGTCTGACTCCCTATCCCTCTGGTCCGACTCTGGTTGAGATTTCAAAACTTCCTCGACTTACTTCATCTGAAATCATCGAGGATACCTCCATATTCCAAACCCATCTAGACACCGAACCCATCACTGTCAGCGACATCAAACTGCTACCACGACAAAAGGCCTCGTGGTCACAATACAGGCAGTTGTTCTTTCACGAACTGGCCAACTACGGAATTCTACGTGCAACACTTGACTGGAAGGAACCACCAGAGTCCCCTTGGAACTCTATCATTTTAGCTTGCGTTGCGAAACATTACAACTGGGGACTCAACCGAGGCGTGTTCTCCTTATACCCGATTAACCCGCGACATCATGGGAATGTTATGTGCTTGGGTACGTTGGAAAGGTGGCTCCGCGGGCACACAGATGAAATAACGAGGGCTCGGAAAAACCCTCATATCTCCTCAATTCAAAAGAAATCAGCACGTCGCAGCAGTGTTAGTTCAAAGACATATCACTTGTGACTGATGGGTTGGTGTACTGATTGCTTCGACTGTATCTTTGTTTCTCATTCACAGCTCTTCAACCATTGCAAAAATTCAATCGAAGCCGCTCTGGGCATACCAGCCTTAGCCCTACTTCCAAAAGCGGCTTGTTGCTCAGACACTGAAGACGATGGGAGCGGCGGCTTTGTTTCAATCGATTTAGGCTGGCGTAGCTCCAAATATACCAAATTTTTACACATGATTGATGAGGTATCTCGACAGCGAGCGAGAGACAGAGGATCAGGAAGAATGGTGGCACGCCGGTTGGATTCAAACAGAAAGGCTTCAGGAAGAATCAATGAGAGTGCTAAGGCTTGTGCTGGATTACCGGAATCTTGCTACAGTGAAAATTATATATCTCAACTTACTATGACGAATAAGTATCTCTGGGACAAAAGAAGAAGTATTCCTGCTCATATACTGGATCATTATATCTTGGAGTTGAAGAATTTGCTCAAGAAACAATGACATGCTCAAGATCGACTTTCTGGGGAATGCTCTTCACTATCTACTCAACCTTTTTCTTATGAATATATCATCTTCAGATTCGCGTTGCTGTTCTTTTTTTCATTAGCTTTTGTTTCTTGTAAATATATCACCCGTCTGCATTGTATCTCTGGTTATAAAATACTATTTAAATATTCACAATATACAGGTTTTTATTCAGTTCTCGAGTGCTTTCTTGTGAATAGATCATTTGTCTCTGTCGTGTTTTTCTTTTACATTTAAAAATGGGTATTGAGAATGTGATGGCTATTTGATCCACTATATTACAACTGATGTATACATGTTTGATGTGGTATTGCTTATGCTTGTTAGCAGTTGGCAACACTGATAAATCTGCGTACCCGGTCCGGCGTCGTCCCCTAACAGTCTTTGGGTTTTGCTAAAAAACCCTCAACTCAAAACAAAATGCTGGAGTTCAATGATAAGGCACGATTCATTCCAGTCAAATCAACTGAAGGACTTACATGATATCTGAGAAGAAATAGTATACTTCCAGTTTCAATAAACTGAAGAGCCCATGGCTGATATCTCTTACGAGTACCATGAAACGATAGACATCATTCAGTCTGTCCCAAAGATATCTCATGAATGGCGTCTGGAGAACTTGAAGACTCTGCGTTCTAAGAACACATCATCGATATCCCAAAATGGTTGAGGTGTGTCTTTAATCGACCGCTTTGGCTGAGGTTTTATTGAACCATACCGCGACGAGATATTATGTTGCATCGGAATGAACTCGGACTTTTCGGTAGATCCTTTTTCTTTTCACAAAAAGGAATGTAACGGAGAATGTTTCTTTTCAAAACAAAATTTTATTAATGAATTCAAATCCAAAGGTTGGTATTGCTGAAATCAGACGTGATTGTATTAATCACAACGTTGGATGCAAAGTAAATGTGGATGAAAGGCGATGAGGGAGAAGTCTTTTCCTCGCTCCCGCTCTACTGAATTTAGGCATAGCCAGCCTCATGGGCTTCAAAACAAGCTCAGTAACATTATATCGTGAGATTAAAGAAAGATTTTTTCCAAAGAATCTGTGTGTGCACCCTGACCCTACCAATCTGTATATTCTCATCTTCTCATAAATTCCCAATTCCGGTCTCTCCTATCTTTTGCTAGGAGAAATTTCAACGTCATATCTTCAACTCATCCATCGTTCATCTCCCCCATGCCACCTCATATCTGCACATGTGTGGAGCTTGGTTGTGGAGCTGAAAGCTTTGCGCTGAATGGAGTCACAACAATTGGCAAAATGCGCACGTCACATAATGGCAAGAATCACGAGGCTGAGCTACGCCGTCTTCGGCATGAATCACGACAGGGTGCATCATCAACCCTCCAGGAAATTCCCGTCCCTACAAATGTGTGTGTTCCGCACTAATTTTTGTCTTAGGATTCTCACTCATCTTACGTCTTTTGTTTTTGCAAAATCAAATAATAGACACGTCGCAGATCTTCGAGCACCAGCAACTTACTTATACAGAGAGGCTCGTCATGTTCAGAAGGACCAAGCCAGCCATCTCGGAGGCGTTCACTTTCAGCTAGGCCGTCATCTGTTCTTTCTACAGAACAATATCGACTACCTGAGGTATATCATCAAAAGCCATCTGCCTTAATCAATATGCTGCAAATCGCCAAATCGAGTATCAAAGATCGTGCTAGTCACCGGTCCAGCCGAACTGCTCTCAAGATCGCGAAGCTCAGTATTGAACAAACATGTCTCGAATCGAATTATCACGGTTACCCATTTTGGAATGAAATACCAACCACCCTTCCAAAGCTATACAATATCTTCAATCTCGATTCAAGTTTGACTTCAGAAATATGCTGTCCGGAGTGCTTTGCGTTACATGGAATTCAACCAACGAACCCAGCAACATACAAGCTGAAATGTGATAGTATGCGTTTCTTTCAATCCATCAAAAGGAAGAAGAAGGATGAAGAGACTTGCCGGCAAAGCTGCGACGCCTCTCTCTACAACAATAAAACACTAAAGCCACATCGAGTCTTCCACTACCAGTCACTGCAATCGTGGCTGGCTAAGCTGATGTTCCTTCCAGGGTTTGAAGATCATTTAGATGCCTCAATCACCAGAGCAGCCCAATCAACTCGACGAGATCCAACAAAGGCATATGACATCTGGGACGGAAAGATGTGGAAAACATTTGAAATTTCTTCCAGTAACTCCTCGGTACCATATACTTCAAAAAGCGGCAACTTGGTCTTCAGATTTTTTTGTGATTGGTTCAATCCACACGGACGTGGATCACAAAGGCACATCTCCAGCGGAAACGTGATACTTATCTGTTACAACCTCCCCCCGGAGATGCGGTATAAAGAAGAAAATATCTTTCTATACGGCATAATTCCTGGTCCTCAGGAGCCAAAAACCGATCAGATAAATGATCCGCTGAAGCCGCTAGTGGACGAGTTCATGCAGCTTTGGGAGGGAGTCTTCTTCACCACAACATCAAGGCATCAAAGTGGACGAGTCATACGCGCGGTCATTTGGCCACTTATTGCCGATGCACCTGGGATGCGAAAAATTGCCGGTTTCGCGTCTCATACGGCAACACTTTTCTGTCCTCACTGCGCTTTAAAGAAAAACGACATGGGCGACATTGACATCACCAAATGGCCAGAAAGATCCGATCATCAAATCCATGCTGAGGCTTGGAAAGACGCAGAGACGTTGGAAGAACAAGAAAAGATTTTCGATGATTTCGGAGTACGTTATAGCATATTCTCAAAGCTACCGTACTGGAGACCACACGAGTTTGTTACTGTGGATATCATGCATTGCATGCTGTTGGGTATTCTTCTTGATCATTTGAAATCATGTATTGGAATTTTTGCTGCTGGGAAGAAGTTGAAATATATCTATGAGGTTAATGCTCGCAAGGGAATGCATAGGGCTGAAGTAAGTTCTTTGATTCATCAAGGAACTGAACTGGGAATTGTAACTTACCTTCTGATGAACATCCAATACCTACCTTCCCTTAGGATGTACAGAGAATTAAAAACAAAATTGGTGGCAGACGCGGTGTGCCAGCTCAGCTTGAGGAGAATTACGATGATGGTATGAATGAAGAAAGTAATTTCAACAATGATGAAGGTAGCCAGCACACAGACCTCGAAAATCAGAGTCAAGACAACAATCAGAGTCATTCAGGCGTAGATGAAGGTACTGAAGACATAGATGAAAGTGCCGAAGACACCAATGGGAGTGTATCCGAGATCTCAAATCTAACCTACAGTAGCAAACGTGCTAGAAGCCCTGTGGAGGCGTCAAATAAACGACTTCGGCATATTGATACTGTGGATCCTTCAGGAACTGTCAGTATCATACCTGGCAAAGGAAAAAAAAGACAGCTGTCTCAAGATTCAAAAGCCCGGCCAATCAGACGATTGAAACGAATAGAATCATCATCAGGATCATCTGTGACATCCTACACAGCCCAAAAGATCATCCCGAGAATAACAACTAAAAAAAAAGAAAAATCACTCACCCACGTACATCCATTGCTCAGCACGACATAACCTCACGACGTTCGATCATTCAAGACGATTCAAGCCCAGGTTTGATTGCTCAACCAAATGAAACCTCAGATGCTCGGAGTACTTCGAATTCTCCGGCTCGAAGTGATTCAAATTCAACTGTTCGAGGGTTCCCAAATGCCCCTCAATCTACAGAACTCCCTAAAGATCCTAAGATCACGGTCTTATTATTGGAAAAACTACATCAGGCTGTGCCAGATATAGTTACTCCGACATGGATGACTCGACTTCCAAAGAAAATAGGAATGGGAAGTTGTGGACACGTGAAAGCAACTGAATGGCTTGTATTGTATACTGTCTATATGGTACTTGTCATGATTCCGGAGCTGTACCAGTCCGAAAATGATTCAGAAAAAGTTATATGTCAAAGTCTCATCAAACTTGCCGGGGTTGTTAATTGCACATTCTCTCGCACTTTTGATCAAAAGAAATGTGACAGGTTACAATTTCTTTTGCAAGATTATCGGCACCACCTTGATACATACTGGAAAGGTGTTACCGTAAAATCAAACCTACATGTGGCACAGCACATTCCAGAAATAGCGAAACTTTATGGACCACCATCATATACAGCGGGCTTTGCAGGCGAGAGAATGAATGGTGCATTAATCAACACCCCAACAAATCGCCACCTAGGTAAGGAGGATTTGCTTGTAATGGAACTTTACAGTATATTGGGGTATTGATAATCTACTTATCTTTGCAGAGGATCTTGAAAAGACACTCAGCAATTCATTTATCCGCAGAGGACTCTTCCAATCGGTTTTGAACAACACATCAGCTTTACTGAGTCGGGCAGATGAGAGAATTCGAGATACCGCTGTCGCCACGCTCACTGGACTCCCAATTCCCGCATGGTCGAAACTTACAGGAATAGATCAGCTGACAACCTACCACACCTGGTTGAATTATCTCAACAATGACATAGACGGACGTTATGGAGCGTTTTCGAACAAGTTCAGCAACACAGGCACCCCAAACTGCCAAAGTAAATTACTGCCAGATGAAGTCCAGACCATCCAGAGACTAAATATTAGTGGAAAATATTTCAACTCCGCTAAACCTCGCAAACCCAATGAAGGAAATACTTTGATTGAGTTCACGTTAAGGAAAAAGAGAAGCTACGGAAGAATTGTGGCGATATTTCGAACATCTCTCATACCAACTAACTTTCTCCATATTGAGCCATTCACCAAACTGAGTGACTCCGACTCACAGAAAAATTTGTATTCTCAATATTCTGGTCTTCAAGCGACCATACTATATGATATACCTGCCCCACAAGTTGTAGTGGACGTCAGAGATATGATAGGTCATGTTGCGGCTGTTTTCAATCAAGAAAACATGTTCGGGATATCGCAGAAAACCCTCTCTGTCGTCAGTTTAAGGAACTCAGTAAGCTTATATTTGATATTTCTGGAAAAATAAGGGTAATGTTGCTAACTTACGTCCCAATTTATTTTGATTTAGGATCTAATTGCTGCAGAGACTCCACAAACTGATGAATAAGAAGGACAAAGATGTATGCTAGTTATGTTCAGATGACAATAAGAGTATATGACGGTGCATGTCATGAATCACTTTTTTACTTCACTTTCCTCTTTTTCTTTGTGAAAGGTGGTTTGCAAAACGAAAAAAGAACTTTTCTGTTTTCATTCTTCTCAAAAGTTGTACAACATAAAAAACCCCCAATAGTGTCAGTTCTTGTCAGTAACAGCGAATCTATTACAATGCTGAACTCAATTCCCGAACTGTGGGAAAAGTCTGAACTGCAATTATTTGGCCCCGGATTGACTATCTACTCGAGACCGGGTCAACTGGATGGGAACTGATCCAATAGCCCATCCAGACCAGTTCATGGTTTTGACCAAATCATCCACCAACTTGATCTCGATTGATCTGATTCAACCACTCCCCCACTGAACTTCATTCAACTTCACTTTCTTCTCAGATGAAATATTTTCCACCGATTCACAATCAAAACAAGAACATGATGTGTTTTTAAATTAAAACCTCAAATCAAATCAAAAAAAATTGATTCCAACGAAATCAATGAAGGTCAGTAAATTTCAATTTCCATCATAATTCTTCATGATGGAATATATATATGTAACTCATCAATTTGTCAACAAATCCATAGATTCTTATACACCAAGCGATAATGAATTATACATGAAAATCACTCATTTCAAATCAATTGTAAGATTAGCTCAATCGATTTACAGTTGAGACCACCTCCAATTGAGGATCAAGCGTTAGATCCATCTGTACAAGCGATTTGTTTCAAATGGCATGAGAATTGTGCACATCAATGTTTTGAACGAGTTAAGTCTTTTCATCTGCAATTATTTAATAGCTATCCTTCATTCTACTGATTAACCTTTTTCTTATTTTCCTCTTCTGATATCATTGGAAGATTTGAAGATTCCGCGGCATATCACTTTGATTTTGAATTGGAATAACCGGACGTTATTCAAGACATCTTAAGATCTAGAAGGAAAGTAGATGTGGGTGGTCAGAGACGCGAACGGAAGAAGGGCATTCACGCATATCTTACAACCTCATTAACCACACCTCCGTGCGCCGGCAATCTTACATAAACGTCCTCTTTTTCATTTATACTTCCGTCTCTTTATCTTCTCCCAAAAACCTTTCTTCCATCTGTGATCGTGATTTTCAGTGACTGTTTGGTACATGAAAACAGGGTGCCACACTCTACTCTTCACAATCATTGCATTCAAGCGAAGCAAAAACAATCGGCGAGTTTTAGCTCACGGACTGTTACTGCACCTTCTACCAAAGTATCGTACACATTCCTCAGTCTTCCTAATTTTCCAAATATTTGTTAACTACTTGAAAGCTAATTTGTACGCTGACCGTTATTTGCATTTGTTTCTCAGATGGTCCAATATCAAAGGCAGATCTATTCGATGTATAAACACGCACAATCATTCAAAGCGGAAGGAGTCTTCTTCAAAGGAGGAGCTAGGCAGGTGAGTATGAAGCCCTTTGAGGGTGAAGCTTCTTGAATTGATCAACCTGCATCGTGTTGATTGATTCAAGATATCTTTTCCATATTCTGTGTTATTTCTTTTCCGTATTTTACTTTGTATCTGCTTCACCCTGTCTGGCCTTCCTGCTTCAACATCCATCTCATATTATATTCTGGTTGATAGTTTGCGATTCTCTCACACCTTTTTCTCTATCCTTGAGTGTATCACTTTTTATTGCTTTCGTACTCTGTCTTATATTATTTCTGTTATCTCCTTCTCATCTTCTTCACCCTCCCTTGTCTTCATCGTTCACATTAATCTCAGAAAATCATTGTCTAGTTTCTGATTTTCCATTGTTTCGTCTCTCAAACACCCTTTTCTCTAGTTCTGAGTGTATCGCCTCACTTATATAAACTTCTAAATGAAGGCTTTCAAAAGCATCTTTGCTTCTCTCAAGAAACGTATACGAAATGCAAAACAATATTCATGTAAGTCGATTGCTTCTTTGAGCTGCGATAACTAACTTGCATTTAGATCTGACATTCTATACTTTCTTTCCAACTAAAGTCTCACAGGCTTGCCGAAGTCACGGGAGTGGATCGCGATATACCGACTTAGAGTCAGGCTACGAATACGATGTTCAATTCCCAAACCTCCATAGCTGGGGCGAAAGCTATACTGGATTAACTCCTGTGGACGAAGCCCCGGCCCGACTCGATCTAGACACCCATCTAACTGTGGATGCCATCTCCGATTTGGCTGAAGCCATGTCCAATGATATCACGACGACAATCGACAACACAGATACAGCTACACCAGACCCTGTTGCAGCTACTCTCAATTCACCTTTGATTGTAGCTGATACAGTCATACCCGAGCCTATCGCAGGTTTAGCCGGGGTAGTGCAGCCTGGAAACATATCCTTGAAGCGCCGGCGACCGGAAGTCTTAGATGAACAGGTCAATGGTAAGTCAATGACCAGTGCATTAGTTCTTTCACTACGACAATGTCATGTCTATATTTTTGTGCATGCTGACCAAGTTTTTGTCTTGCGTGTATTGTCAGGGATGAAAACGGCAGAGGATCATGCTCTTAAACGCCAAAAAATCAACCTTCAGTTATCGGTTTCCATTGGCTTGGACCAATCAAGTCATGAGCCCAGAAACTCGAGTTACATATCACCAAATAATGTACATACCCTTGTCAACTTCAACACAGTTCTCCCGATGCATGCAACACCAACACGTATCAACTTTGGGGTGATGAGGCTCTACCAACTGAAATCGCCATCACAATCAATCACAACCATACTCAACTGCAAGATGATATGCATCGCGTTGCCACGCCTGCTGCAGCGATCACCTCTGATAATACTTCTGATAATACTCACCTGCAAGATGATTCCAATCGCTTTTCCACACCTGCTGCAGCTATCACCTCTGATAATACTTCCCTGCACGACGATATCAATCGCTTTTTCACACCTGCGGCTGCGATCGATTCTGATCCCATGGCGGCTAATACTAAAGCCCATGCAATCAAGCCTGAAAGTCTCTCTCTCAAACGCCAGCAAGCTAAAGTCTTTGACGAAAGTTCTGAAGGTCTGTTCCACTTTCACATCTTCCATCCCTCATTCTATATTTGTGTTTAACATATCTACATGTTGATTGAAGTTGATTGTTTGTAGTGCCGGTCACACCAGTTCCTAAACGTCAAAAAATCGATCCGTTTGATGGCCCAGCAATTCTTGGAACTCCTTGTACCCCCGTTGTTGATGAACAACCGGACGGTGAGTCATGATTTTTCTCATTATTAAGGCTTTCTCGTTCTATACAATCTGAATACCCATATACTGATGCGAGTTGAATGTATGTAGTGCCAGTGACCCCGGTTGATAACTATCAAAACATCAATTCATCTGATGACTTGATGATTCTCGAAACCCCGCGCACTCCGGTTTTTGTTAAACAACCTAGTGGACAACCCAATGGTGTGTATACTTCCTCTCATATTTCTTTCTTCTTCACCTCATTCTATATGATCTGAACACTACACTGATGTGACGGATGTGTGTAGTCCCGATGACACTAGTTTATGATCATCAAAAAAACCACACTTCCGATGGCTCAATCACTCTCGGCACCACTTCTACTCCGGTCTTCATTGAGCAACCAATTGGTAAGTTACCCTCCTTCTCATTCTATACTTGTATTTAAGATATGTACATGCTGATTGATGTTGATTGTTTGTAGTGCCGGTCACACCAGTTCCTAAACGTCAAAAAATCGATCCGTTTGATGGCCCAGCAATTCGAACTCCTTGTACCCCCGTTGTTGATGAACAACCGGACAGTGAGTCATGATTTTTCTCATTATTAAGGCTTTCTCGTTCTATACAATCTGAATACCCATATACTGATGCGAGTTGAATGTATGTAGTGCCAGTGACCCCGGTTGATAACTATCAAAACACCAATTCATCTGATGACTTGATGATTCTTGAAACCCCGCGCACTCCGGTTTTTGTTAAACAACCTAGTGGACAACCCAATGGTGTGTATACTTCCTCTCATTTTTCTTGCTTCTTCACCTCATTCTATATGACCTGAACACTACACTGATGTGACGGATGTGTGTAGTCCCAATGACACTAGTTTATGATCATCAAAAAAACCACACTTCCAATGGCTCAATCACTCTGGGCACCACTTCTACTCCGGTCTTCATTGAGCAACCAATCGGTAAGTTACCCTCCTGCTCATCATTATCATTTCCAAGTTCAATGCCCAGTTGGAGGCTGATATGAATTTTTTGCACCACTACAAAGTTGCGAAAACAACTATTCATGTTTCATGCAACTGCAAAGACCAGATCAGTGGTTTTATGAGTGGGATTTTTGAAAAGATGGAGGGTGTCGCCAAAGGAACACTCCATTTTCAAACTTGTGATCTTATCAGGACTGGTCGAAGGCGTTCGAGTATGTAAAGTATTGAACATTCACCAATGCCAGCTACAAGTGCGATTCTTAGTTATTTTCTGGGCTGTTGTGTCTTGATTCTTTTTCAATTCTTTTTCATTTATATCTTCAACCTCTATTTTGTGCCCTCTTACCTTGTGAATATTTATGTTATTGTCCATAGTTTGTTTTCCAACTTGCCTACACTGCTTCATTGTATATATTTTGAGCTTATCTTGTGTTGATTCCCTTTTTTCTTATTTCTTCTGTGAATATTAATTTAAGCGATTGTGTTCCATTTCAAACGTTGTCTACACTCAGCCAACAGCCTTTTGACATCAGCCCGACAGACAGTCAAGGATGGCACCGCATGGGAGATAAAACACATCCAGTTCTGGATGTGTTTCCCAGTGAAGAACAATGGCACAGTTCCTCGAAGAGTTCAACAGTCTTAGAATCTTGCCTGGAAGGAAGAGTTTCCCAATTCAAAAAAACGAGTCTAATGTTTGTAAAAGCTCATGAAAAGAATTTGAACTCTTAGTAAAACAGATGACTTCCAGAACATAGCACAAATGAAGCGAGGTACATGATGAAATAAAAAATAAGAACATAGCATTCCAACCGCAAGACTATTTACAGATAAGATGAAGATAACATAAGCGAGCAAAAAGGAAGCGAGGGTCATGAAGAAATAAAGATAAGAAAATTCCAACAGCAAGACTATTCACAGATAAGATGAAGATACAAAAACCAGAAGAGAAAAATATTGATTGATTCTAAGTCAAATGAAAAGTATGAATAGGTCGCAATGCTGTTTATCTCAACAGCAACAGATACAACCGCACATGTCATTTAACCGCCCACAAGGGCCTAGACAGCAACTACCCACAAAAACAAGATTATCCCATGACTACATAACTCTTGCGAAAAGAAAATATTTGAAGTTAGCAAACAGGTGCATTTGATGAGGTGTATGGTCCGGAAAGCAGATCTATAACTCACTATAATTGGTACTTGCATTGAGATTGGAGAACATTCAAATCCCATAGAACGCCCCATACCTCTGTGCGATGTGCTCTTCAAATTCTTCGAGTATTTGTTTTTTCAAAGCTCGTTGGACTATACAATGACCTGGTTTGAAGTGTTGAATCAAGTGGCGAAGATCCATCTTCTCAATACTAGCGAGGTTGTAATCCGGTGTCATGAATTGAACAAGGTGGGTAGGTAAGTTTGACACTCTATTCCAATATACTGGATTGGTGTGGAAGGCGGGGATTGGGACACGGTGATGAACTGGACAAACAATTACGACAGGCTGAGCATGAGGTTGTCTAGATTGTTGGCGAAATGCTCTACTTATGACTGAAGGTGATCTGGACAAATTCCGAGAAGAAATTGACGCGACGGAAGAACTTTGAGCCGAAATTGATCTGATAGATGGTGATCTGATAGATGCTGATTTGATAGACGAATTCCGAGAAGAAATTGACGTGACTGAAGAACCTCGAGCTGATCTTGATCTGATAGATGGTGATCTGATAGACGAATTCCGAGAAGAAATTGACTTGACTGAAGCACCTCGAGCTGATCTGGATCTAATGGATGACTGCCGAGCCGATCTACGTGGAGTCGTCAAGTTGATGGATACGTTTCCCTTGAGATTCCCACGAACATGAATATTTACAGCCATTGTATATGTAAAAAAGTGTATGTATGTAGTGTGAAATTGATATGTAGTGTAAATTTCTAGTGTAGTGTAGAAGAAGTGTGAGAAAGATTATGAACAAGCGTGAAAAAGAACTATGAAGGTGTTCAAGACGTTTTTTCTATTAACAGTATTTTGATTCAGAATGAACCTGGGACTCAAAGATCTCAGACAGTCAGTTTGATTTATACGTCAATGATCCACTCAAGACTATACGATTACCGACTTCATATTTTCAACCACAAAGGAAAAGAACTGCCCTCGGCACCCGTGGCCCTCGGAACATATTCCGTCTTTTTAATCTCCCCCTTAAAGAGTGATATCAGAAAGCCCGTAGAATTGGATGGAACTTACTATCATCATCAAATGTGGGTTCCGTTCTTTGTTGGACGACAAACACTTGGAAAAGAGGTCTAGCTAAGCATTTCATTTTCAAATGACGTCTGGAAATCGGCATCTAATCTGGGGTGCGTCCTTTTTTTGATTACAAAAAATTGAGAACAACGGTCTGACCAAACATTGTAATCTTACAATTTTACGTGGGTTCTATTCTTTGGTTGACCACCAACATACGTTTGAGCTAATATTTTCATTACATACGTACACATCCGAAGTCAAGCGAAGGGTAACATCAACACAGGGAGTCAAAGCTGCAGGTGGAATGATGAAAGGCACGTAAGTTATTCTTTGTTTTCTTGGTTGATCATCCGTTTCGATCTCATGTTACCACTTTTCTAATCTTTCGTCATCTCATGTGTTTTCTGCTTCAACAAGGGCCGCAAATATACAGTACGTTGTGTTAAAGCTGTAAGTGGAACAAAGGAAGCAAAGTAAGTCATTCTTGAGGTTTTTTTGTCGATCATCCGCGTTGATGTCAACGCAACGGTTTCCTTCTGTCATCTCATGTGTTGTCTAATTCTAACTGAGAAGTCCTGTTTCCTCTGACCAGGTTTTCCTCATCTTCCAAACCGAGTTCATACCATCACCCCATTGGCTGCTTTACACCTCCTGGTAATGTACTTTGTGCTCTTTCATCTTGTATGAAGAGATCTGATATGTTTTTGTTTTTTAGAGGAGTGTCCAATGCAGCAACCGACAAATTTCACTTCTTTGGATAACCTATACCCCCTTCAAGCAAATAGAGGTTTTTATGTTTCCCACCACATTTATACTTTCTGCACTAAGTGACGCTAACAATCAATGAACTAACCAGGTACTGGCATGGAACTTGGTAAGGAGCATATCATCTAATCATCAACCAATATGAGGTTTTCAACTGACTCGATTTTTATCCTCCTTTGGCCACTTTAGACAATCAGTCTACTGCACTAGCAGACCATCCAGCTGGCTATGAAGATGATGCAATCATTCTCGATGAACAAGAGGAACCCACTCCTGGTATGCAACTCGGTAAGAGTCATTCCACCTAATCATCAAACGATATTCAATCTTGTTTGATTTGATTTTTGGACCCCTTTGGCCACTTTAGACGATCAACCAGAAGACCATCCAACTTCCCATGAGGAAAATGCCCCCATTCTTGATGATCCGAAAGGGCCAGATCCTGATATTGAACTTGGTAAGAATTATTCTGTCTGATCGTCAATGCATGGTTGGTTTGGGTGTAATCTTACTCGATTATCTCCCCTATTTGGCAACTGTAGATGATGGAGCTACGGAACCACCAAAGTATCCGACTTCCCATGGGGCAGATACAATCCCAGTCTTGGCACATTCTGAGGGCTCTGATTTGAGAAATTGTGGTCAGCTTTTCTTTCATATTTATATAAGCCTGATATTTTAGTCTATTCTGAATGTTTCCATCCAACAGACCCGAACTCAACAAGCTGTCAGACTTTGCCACCACATTCAATAGGAAATACGCACTCCAACTCTTTCTTATCAATCACAAATACTATTACCAACTCGCCTGGACCCCCGACAGATATGACACCTTCTAAGCGTATCCTCAGTTCTACCGAAACCCATTCAGAAAGCACTCCCATTGCAACAAATTCCAAGCGTAGGTTTTTTTTCTGATTCTCGAAATGGAGACTCCCACTCACCTCTATTTGTGTTCTACAGGGAGGATTATAGATTGCTCTAACTGGTGTCGTCGTTATACCACAAATGAAGGTATGTGGCATAACAAAACATAGTTCATTGCAAATTTTGGCGCTGGTATTACAAAAACGTAGATGTATCTCACCCTAACGACAGAAATCCTAAGCAGCATCATTTTACCGGCGATCCTGACGAGTCAACGAGCCAATTAAATTGTCCTTTCAATCAGAGTCTAGTTACTCAAAACAGTAACTTCAATCCGCAAGTACTCCTGCCATTCAACACTACTTTTGCTCATCCTTTGCCATTGGTTGCTTCACAGCCAATCGGCTGGCCAGCACAGCCCTTACCAGCTTATCCTGTTTCTTTGGGACTCGGATCAACCTCCTCTCCCATTTCTTTTATTCACATCACTTCCGTCTCACACCCACAAGTTTCCAGCACACCCTTCACTTTATTTCCGCCACCATCTGATTTAAATACACAGACTCTGGACATGTCGGCACCCTTGCTACCACATGAGACACCGCTTACTATTGAAAATACAACACAACACCCGATATTCACCTTAACAAGACCAACTGAACACACAAGCGACCCTTCAAGGACTTCGACAAGACCTGCAACTCTTGCCTTCCGACATCCTCCCCATCACGCGAATGTCAGCACATCAAGGTCAACTGATAATCTAAGAGAACCTTCACGCACCTCAAGAAGCGCCTCAACTCAACCCGAGTCCTCATCAGCCTCAAGAAATTCTCTAGAGCCACCTCAACGCCTAACACAGCGCTCGCTCTCTCGTGCTGATAGCCTCACTGAAAATGACTCACCACGCCTTTTTAGAAATTCATCAGACTATTCATCATCAAACTCATCACGAGGCCAAAGAAGCACTTCGCGTCGGCATCGGTCTACCCAAGGCTCTACACAAGCTTCAACATCGCATAGAAGCCCATCACCATCACCATCACCATCTAGTGAAGCTTCCAGTGAATCTGATTCTGACAGTGGCTCCGAAAGTGACCTCGACATACGTCAAAGACAGCACTACCAGCGTAAAGAAGCTCGACATTGTTCTAAAATCACCAAATCACGACGCGAGGGTGTTCGGTTTGAGAAGCTCACTGAAGATCAAGGACCTTCCAAAAATGAGCAGCTGTCGATTTGTATTCAGGATTATTTCAAACTTATTCTGGGTGTGACACGTAAAGCTCGCGGTGAAAAAAAGACCTCAACACTTCCCAGCCCACCGTCCGACAAGGAAATTACCGCATGGGAGCAACGAAAGCATGACCGGAAGCGAACTATTGCAAAACAAGTCTCAAAGGAACGAGAAAGGTTTCTGAAGTACAACTCAGCTCCCAAACGCGCAGAGCTGAAAATGATTGATGAAACGGCAACTAAAAAAGCTGTTGAAAAACTTAAACCAGTAATCTTTACTTCACGCGTCTCTTCTTGACACTCTTATAAATTCTCAACCACTGTAGCTTCCACATGTGAGGCAGCTCTTGCCTCGGGTGGATTTCCTAGATGCACTTTTGATTGGCAATACTCACTCCAATCTAAATGGAACGAAGCTATGTCCACTATAATGCTGCAGGAATGGGAAAAATGCTACAATAGAGGTGATGCATCGAGATACTTGATAAATTCTGAACATGTCACATCTATAAATAAATTCAGGATCTTTGAGCGATGGTACAACACGCAACGTGCAAACTTCTCAGACCAAGTTCGCAAGATATCAAACACCGAGAACAACGCCAGCAGTGACTCCACAAACGTTGTAGTTGATGATAAGCAGGCAAGGGAGAAGATTAGCCGCTCCAACTCAAGGAAACGTGTAAGTCCTATGATTTCTAAATCTCTAGTGCCCTCGTGTTGCTTACATCATTCATATTTCTTGGTGTTCTCTTCAGGTATCTGAACTTCGATCCGCAACCTTCAAGAAGTATTTTCCCGAAGAACGCAACCTATATCTCATTATTTCGGACCCCAAAGTTCACTCTGAGGATTAACTCGATGAAAACAACCGCCAATTTAAACCACAGCTACCTTGGAGGACGGAGGATCTTGACACTTTGTTGTCTTTACTCAGTGAGCTATGTATACACTTAAGAATGGAATCTCGGCGGGAGACTATTGCGATCAAAGCTCTCCGCCAAGGAGAATATGTACAGATGAGTGAAAAAGAAAAGAGTAGATCATTTCCTCCAAAAAAGTTACCAAGATTCATGGTGAGGGATGATTATATAACAAAGTACCTCTCAATGGCTCGACAGTCTGAACTGGCTCTATCATCGCATGTGTTTGATTTGAAGAATATGATTTCAAAGTTGAGACAACAGATGAAATGATATCTACAGAATATCAAGTCAGGGATTCATTTGACTGTTTTTCAAATTTATTCACTCTATCATGTTCATCCATGTTATTTAATCTTTGTCAATGATTTCGTCATGGACTTTTAAATTCATGAAACTACAATCACTAGATCACCCTTTGTTTAATTTTTCGGTGCTGTTTTTTTATTTCTTGGGATCATGATCAATTTTTTTCTATCCTTACAGACCCATTTTCTTATCGCCTTTTATATTAGATACATACATTGTTCCTTCTTTTGAAGTTTTTTCAGGATCTCTGTTTCTCACACTTTTAGAATCTTTCACATTCACCCCTCAATCCTTTCACCCGAAGACCTGTTAGATTCCTTTCAAAGCTTATCCTTTTGTGAAACTTCGGAAGAAAAACCTTCTCAAGTGTGTAATATCAATTCTTCAAATGCTACCCTTGTTTAATTATCCAGACGTTTAGGAGTTTCTATTTATCTTTCTCTCACCTCTGAATCTCTCGGGTTTCATTTGGATCTTGAACGATACAAACTGTAATATTTAGACCGACACACTCGTCATTGTGGTTCAATTTCAACCCTTCAACTTTATCAGGCTCAGATGTGTTACCGGATTTAAAAAAATAGTCCCAGATTTAATCTAGAAATTCTTGTCCAATTTCATCGAGGTCTTCTTAGATTTGCTCATGATTTTAAATGTAGTCGGACTTTTGTAACTATACTCGTGTTTCTTAAACTGCTCTTTTGTTCCTGTGTTGCTTGTCTTTGTCTGTTTCGTAAGTACTTCATGTGAATCGGTCATGAGAAGGGGCTTGAGGCAAGGCAACTGAGGGGTTGAGCCAAACCCTGAACAGAGCCTCGAGAGGTTCAACATAACTGAGGAGGTGTTTAGAGTCTTCAAACCTTGCTGAAGTTGAGCAAAGTCAACAACGTATACTCAGTCCAAGTGATGGACCGTTCTTGACATCAACCATGCACGACTGCTTCGCTAACGCGTCGTGAGTGTGAAATTCAGACCCTGTGTCAGAATGTAGCAAGATAAAGACACAAAGATGTTTGAGTGGATGTCATTATGAGCAAAGGAAATTAGTGACTCAGAAACAACTATTCAGACCTGATAGAATCACATCAATAGTGAGTAAAAGGACACTCGAAAAGCCGAGATCACCATGAGTGTTGAGAGGAATGAGGCACCTGTTGGAAGGTTGCAAGTAAAGATGAGACAAATGTTTGGGTGAAGAAAATGTACAACAAGCAAAGATCACATCTTTTTATATGGTAACAATTTCTCCAGACCTATGTTTCACAAACATTAGGTATATGTGACTCTCATTCATCACATTGAGGATAGTCCCAACAGTGTAAATAAGGTGTAGAACAAAGCAGGAAAGAAAGAACAAATGCTCACACCTGTGCACACTTTACCACACCCAGTATATCCAAAGGTCCAGTACTGTCTGTCAGCCCTGAGTACTAAACCATAATAAAAAACCTTAAAAACAGCAATTACAACTCAAGGCTCAGTTTCAAGAGTCAAGTTACATATGATTTGGCATATGTAACATGTGCAAAACTCACATAAAAGAGTGTGTACGTACACAACTTTGATGTGAACCAAAGCTACATATATTTCACAACTGTAACATGTACGTAACAAGTGAAATATAATTATAACCCAATAGTAACTGTGTTACTGTAATTAACCTAACCTTAGAACTGCACTTGTAGTCCAAAGATTTCCAGGGTTCAGACTATATAAACCCTGAAGATCCCACCAGTTTTGAATCATCACTTTACACTACAAGAAACATAACATTTTCTGGGCAGAAAATTAAATTATTTGTATACAAAAATCTGGAAAGGTCAGAAACATAGCAAAAAATATGAAAAAATATGCATCCTGTTCCTTGGTTTGAGATCTCCAAGCTGCATATTTTTACGTATTTTTAGGGTTTATATTGGTGAGTGTACTAACAATAAACCCTCATAATCATCAGATTACCACCTGTAACAGATGATGAAATTTGGCTGATCAGTGCTGAGAGAGAGTTTTGATTACTATAAAGCCCCACAACTTTGTCAATTTTGGATCAAAACACTTGAGTTTAGGGGCATTAGAAAGCTGAATTCCTGAACTACAACTTTTGTTGTGACACAAAATGTGTAATCCCAATGACTGACATTCTATTTGATGATATGTCAAATTTGATTTCATCGGGGATATCTTCCTTTGCAGGCCCGCCACGTATTTGCTTCATTTATGAACTATCTTCAGGCAAATACCAGCTTTCCGATGCACTCAAATTCGAGTGTTTTGAGCCATAATTGACAAAGCTATGGGGTTTTGTAGTAATCAAAATTTTCTCTCAGCACTGATCAGCCAAATTCCAGCATCTGTTACAGGTGGTAATCTGATGATTATGAGGGTTTATTGTTAGTGCACTCACCAATATGAACCCCAAAAATATGGAAAAATATGCAGCTTGGAGATCTCAAACCAAGGAACAGGATGCATATTTTTTCATATTTTTTGCTCTGTTTCTGACCTTTCCAGATTTTTGTATACAAATAATTTAATTTTCTGCCCAGAAAATGTTATGTTTCTTGTAGTGTTAATATTCAACAACTTTACAAATTGCTCATTTCATCTTCCTAGAACTTTTAAACTTTGTCTGACTTCTACAAACTTTAAAACCTTGATTCTACAAACCTTGAATCTTCAACCTTGTGTCTTGTTTACCTTATTGTGTGCGCATCCAAACCTTGTTTCTGTCTGATTAGAATCTATAATCAGTTATTTTTGTAATATCCATTTGGTGGAATTACATGTAGGGAAGTAGTCCTTGAGTCTGGCTTATATCAGATCAGGGATTCATCTGATATAAGAAACTCTAAATTTACGGGGAACCTCTATTATTCAGAGTTTAAACTTCCTGGTGTTAAGACAGACTTTAACACCTCCTTTATTGTTCATTCTTTGTATCAGAAGTGACTCAATTCAGGCTTGAGAACTGCACGTCAGTTGCTCTTTTTTAATTGTTGAAAAGAAGAACAATTACCCAAAATCCCTGGGCTTTAAACCCTTAGTTAAAAGGTCATCTAACTGGAGTCTTTACTTGTTTATTGCAAGTAAAACTCCTACGCCCATGTCTTACTCGCTCAAACTCATGGATAGTAATCCCCAAAAGTCTAGTAGAAGTTTGTTTGAACTTCTATCCTTGTTTTTTATTGAATCTACTAGCCCAACAGACACTAGTAGGCTCACAATCTTTGTCAACAGAAGATCTGTTGTATTTGTAGTCAATAAATGTAAAGATTGAAGTGTGAGTGATAATATTGAAAATTTTGTAGATTGGGAATGTTTTATTTAATCATTGATTGTGTAAAATCTTGGATTTGGATAATCAATATGCACAAAAGGGGTTAGTATGCATCAATGTGATAAAATAGACTGGTGAGCTTCAACCTTACACCTATTGACCTATGGAACCAGTATTCTGTCAAATTGTGTTGTAGATGAGGAATAACAATACTGGGAGAAATTGAGAGATAAGATAGATTGATCAAGAGATGATGGTGGATTTGAAAACTGGGGGAGTTGAACTTTGACTCACCATCATGAGATTTATGTTAATGGAGAGGCCGTACCTCTCTCCCCTTGCGTCCATCCCGCGACACAATTAACTGAAATCTGTGGCAAGTGTTTGCTTTTGGTGCTTGTTCCTGCAGTCCAAGGTCAGACCCTAGCACAACATAGCTACTGTAATGGGGTGTGGAGCTGATGCATAACTTCAAAAAGAAACACCGTTAACTGAAATGGCTAACATAACTCAAAAAAATATGCCCATTACAAGAATCTGCCAATGTAGCTCTTTGGGCACACATTAAGCTATCAGATAATGTGCCGCTTACAGTTACATTAACGTTACGCTAGCATTGAAGCAGCACTTCTGTCTCAGCGTTGTTCCTAGCCCCTTACGTATTGACAAATGAAGGGCTCAATTTTCAAATTGAACCTCTTGATAGTCTTGTAAGTTTTACTTTTTGCTATAAACTTTTGAAATCATCCACTACAATATAATTGTTCTTTTTCTGACTTCCTTTCACAATCTTCATATTTCATTTGATCAATTACTTCATTTTGCTTCAAAATCTTTTGCTACGTCTAATCCTCATTTATTTCCAGCCATGTAAGTCTCAGTCTTATTTGGTCAAGATGCCATCCTCAGTTCCCAGTTGTGGAAAGCAAATCAGTCCACAGCACCTTACATTACATTTTCATTGCAATAGTCTCTACAATTGATGATCTGCATATTCATAATCTCAAAATTCAACAGGCTGAAGATTCACTTAGAAACACACACTCTACACTTGTTTTTTTACTCAAGATCACTTACCTTCCAGTTTAGTTTTATTGACCAATTTATTTTGTATTATTATTTGCACAATTTTTCTAATCTTACAAGTATATCAATGATATCACATGATATCACATGAATCAAATCGAATCTTTACAAATCTAAAATATAAAAACGTACAAGCGACTCGCATGAAGTACCGTTTAGTCCTCTTCTCTGTGGTTTATTTTATTCAATTGTGGTCACTTTTCATGCTTTTCAAATGTTTTACTACCATTGTGGTAGTGCCATGTTGTCTTTGTTAAAGGTG